TAGGGACTATTCACACCCGTCCTCCCACTAGAAGCTGCTCTGGCTGATAAGAGATCGGAGGGAGATCCATCCATCCATCCATCCATCCTCTCCCCCCGGGCTAGGCCGGCCCCTCCGTGCGGGCCAGGCGGTCTATAGCTCGGCCAGTGGGCTCAGGCCAGCCGGCGTCACTCCCTGGAAATCAATCAAGGCGGATGAGCGTGAGAACGAGCTTGAGGGTCGGGCTGCTGGCTTGACGAGGGCCGCCTGGGGAATAGAAATGAGAATAGAAATGAGATGAGTGGTGGAGAGTCCAGCACTAAAAACTAATTAAGCACCAAGCGTCCTGGATCTTCAGTTCGGCTGTTAATGTCTCCCACAGAGAGGAAACCTTGACCCAGGTTCAGCCTTTATTGACCTGACTAACTGAAACATAAACAGGAGTGACTGAGGCCTATGCTTTTGTAGCCTCATTTGGTTTCAGTTCAATCATGTTAAGGTATGGAAGCCTATTTCTGTCACAAACGGGGAGAAAAGATAAAATGTTGGTATGATGACTAAAATAAAAATACTCATGAGGAGTCAAAATAATTAGAAACTAATTTAAATGTAAAATCTTTTTCTCTTATGTCATCATTTTTACTTGCTCTCTCAAAATTTTGATCTAAAAAATCAAAGTTGGGATTTATTTAGTTTCTCATAATTTTGACATTCTGTGACTTCTACCTGGCAGATGTGTGCTTCCATATTATGATGATATCATCATAACATATTCATTTAGGCAAACGTCCTCTCTTATTCACAATGGAACAGAAAATATTCAATTGCAGTAACCTAGCTACAGTATTTTCTATTTACAGTAGTAAATAGACTACTGTGTACTTCTAAATAAATCTAGTTTTTGCACCAAGTAAATAGTACATGCTTTTAAATGAACAGTACATCAACTCTCTTTGCATGCCCCCATCCCGGCATGACATCTTCAAAATAATGATTGCTTAAAAATAACAATTGATGATAGATATTTAAAACTGGTCTGGGACACTTTGTGCTTTACCACCAGGTTAAAATGATGAAAGCCCATTCAAGAAAAAGGAAGGACATGAGGGCGCAGCTTTCAGTAGTTTAAAAACAGGGTAAATGTTCTCGATCAATGTCCTGTAAAAATATGGATCTACAGACAGTCTGAGGACGCTGCTGACTGGAGGACATGAAGTGTGTGTGTGTGTGTGTGTGTATGGGTGTCTTTAGTTTGCATCACATCAGTGGGCAGTGAGGTGGATAATCCTCCAGACTGCTGAAAATGACTCTATTGATCTGTGCTTCTCAGTCACAAACCTCTAAGTACTGCAGTATTATACAGCTGAGCTGTCTGCCTGTGTTTACATGGAGTTTACGGCTTAACTAGGACTATCGGATGGGGACAGTTTGTACATCGTTGTCTGTGTGTGCAGAGCCAAATGTCTCCTATAAACATAAGGAAACCAGTCAAACTGAAACATTTTACCGGTTCTAACCTAATTGTGGGTCTAGTAGTTTTAGGATTTGAGTTTATGGTTAAATGTAACATTAGAAAGAGGTTTAGTGTCAAGAATGGTAGCTTTCTATGTAGTCATGAGGAGGTCTTTATAACACAGTGCTACACCATGTGGTCTCTAACTTAATAAAGCTCTATGACACAATGAAGCAAGACAGAATTCATCTCTCTTTTGTACACACGCAGAGACAACGTGTTGGTTTCTACAAGGATTATTATAAAGACCAAACCCTGATTAAGCAATGCTATATATATCATTCACATGTTGAGAGTGAGATTGATAATATTTCCTTAAATTAATTTATTTATGAATGAAACACTGACACTAATCCTTTTGACAGAAACTGATTTTAATCTTTACAGCACAGCCTTATAAATAATTCCCCCTCTCAAATTCACACAGAAAATGTACAGTCTTACAAAAGGTTAATACAATATAGTACTTTAGGCATTTCATGTAGCTTTTTTGTGCTGTACAGGAGGGGAAAAGCTTCTCTCTGTCTACATACATACAAGCCTTGTCACTATAACGAACTTAAACAATGTATAAAATCAACCACAGTAAAATAACGGGAAGTTTTCATTGACTCTCCATTAAAAACAATAACAAACACTGAAATCATCCACAAATCCCTGTCAATTCATCAGCCCTGTGCTCCATGCACATCTAGAGAGGGGGGCCCAAGATAACTCTTCAGTTTGACAGTAGATAACTGTCATACCTCAATAAAATGGTCATCTGGCGCCATCTAGTGGTACAGATTCATTGGCCCATTGTCAGCAGGTGCACTTAACTTTTTTGGACTAAGCTAACATGGATGAGGAGTCATAAATCTGTTATAGATGAAATCATGACAGCTCAGAGCTTGCATGTTCCCATCTCTATGACAACTGAGCAAACTCTGTCTGCTGATGCAGACCTTATGATATGGCTGAAAGTTAAACTAGATGATTTGGGTTTAAATTGCAGTGTAAGCCAACTACCACCCTGCTGGAGTGTCCTTGAGCAAGACAACTGATCTCTTACCTTGTTGCTTGCCAGAGACCAACAGAGGATTATATTCTTATTAAATTACATTAATGATCTGTATTTATATTGCTTGATTGACTAACAGCAGCCCTCTTACTCCCCCTGCTGACAGAGATCTTGGTTGCATCCATTCACTTCATTCCTCCTTCCTGACCCACGGTGGTCCTGTTGGTCTGGTCATTCTCCCTGACAGGGATGCACCCAGTGAAAAGCTGGGATCTTTGTTTAGTTTTGATCTCCAGGAAAGAAACATTTGATTCTGTTTTTCTGTTGCCCATTATAGCACTACACAACAGGAAACAGGAGCTGTGCAGGATCATCACAGTTTGCACAATCTGTTAAGAAACTTTGTGTTGAGAGAAAACAATCCGCTTTAACAAACGGGAAGTCTACACTGCTGACTGTAAGTTCCCCAACAGTGCATTAAAGCAGACTCATCAAAATCCAGGAACATCAACAAATGAGTTAATAACACTACTGCAAAGTAATGACAACAGAGCCCAGCAGTATCTTTGTTTTGCTGTCAGCACATCTCTGCAAAAAGTGGAAAAGTACTCTATTGAACAAATATTAGAATAAGTTGTTAATCAATTGAATGCAGATAACATGCAAGTAAAAGCATTTAAACAGATTGTTAAAATATAAAATATTCCTGCAATGTTTGGAAGAATTAATTACAGCCATAGTCTATGACTAGTGAAGCAGTATCTTCACCTTTTGTTGTACTGTATAATATGTAGAACAGACACTATATAAATTGTTAAATTTAGTATTACTATATGTCTTTATGCCAGATTATAAACCGTGGTGGAAGCAGCATTCAGATATTGTACATTGAGCAATACTACAACGTACAATTTACTATGTAAAAATTAAATTCTGCATTCCCAATCTTAGAAATACACAAGCATTAATGGCAAAATGAATTTAAAGTATCAAAAGTACTAACACTCTTCTCAGAGTTAAATTTGTATATATTATAATTTTTTCCTGTAACATTTATAGTGTTATAAGCGCATTCATAGTAAATTGCAATGCATTCATAATGCTTTCTGCACTATACCAACAGTTATAAATTATAAATATGAGTTATAATGACATATAACTTGTATCATGGTGTCTTATGGATGCTCTTGACTAGTTATAAACTAGAGGTTGACTGATGGGGCTTATAATACATTATGACTACTTATACTCACCTTTAAACACCTCAACAATCAACTGTTGTAAGGACCCATAGTATTCTATAATAGTCCATGCAGTATCATAAGTTATCACTATATGTGTTAAGTGAAGTACTTACAGTGCACCAGGAAGCATTATGTGTGGCTCTGAGTGTACTAGTCATAGTCATTATGAATGCATTATAATTCACTTTGAATGCCCCATAACACCCCCATAGTTTCATGTCGCAGCTGGTGGAAGTTATTCTATGTAGCTGGTAATGGAAATCCTCAAATAAAGTACAACTGATTATAATAACCAAATCCCTAATAATCATAAAATATATTTAGAAATCTTTTAATGTGATCTGAAGGACACATATATAGATGGCTCCCATATACTTGATGTATTTAGCTTTGTCTTCTCTGACTAAAATGCATTTTGATCACAGCTCTGCACACCGAATAAATATTATTATGTTTTATTATTTGTAGCTCTAGTAATAAAGAAAGAGTCATGTTGAGTCCCTTCTGTTTGAAATAGAGATGTTTACTGAGGAAACAGCAGCAAACATTTACAATCCTCCAGTAAATACAGCGGAAAGTCTGCCAGACGAGAAGTCATTCTGCAGTCCCGAACAGGAAGCAGGAAATGGAGAAAAAGCGAAGCAGGTAAAGAAACAGGTTAAAACAGTGAAACCCCACAGTGTGTCAGAGTTCATGGGGGACGTTATGTGTCTGTCACGCGCACATTCCTTCAGAATGTGATATGATGAGTCATTGTTCACTTTGACCCTTTACCTTCATGCATTTTACTGTGTGTGGTTGATTGAGTGATTCATGATGAGTCATTCTGTATTGTACAGGTGTATTCATGTTCAGAGTTCTCAGGGATTCCCACTGACACACGCACACGGATACTACATGGATTTTATGTAACAATGATTATTCCTTTAGAGGATCTCCAATAAACATAGTGCAGCTCACACAGTGGAGCTTTACAATCCCTCCCAATCAGTACGCAAGCAAATACTTTCATTTTAAAATGCTGGAAACTGATTTGGGTCCAAAATTCATTATACATATACAACAAATTAATAATTTTATGTTTTAATAATTTTTATGTTTTCAACTGGATAATAAATGCTGTATCTAACAAGGATTGTAGAGATTTTTAATAGATTTATTTCATATACAAAATGAAACTATTTCGGCCTCTACTACTCTCACACATGCACAGTATAGTGACCTGGATAGATAGATAGATAGAGAGATATACTTTATTGATCC